TGAAGCTTTCAGGTATTCCTGTGTCACCGCGTTGGATTATAGATACTGGGGCATCAAATCATATGACTGGTGATATTTCGTTATTGCATGACGTCGTGGGAATATCACCATGTGAGATTGGTTTGCCCAATGGGAAAAGAATTATTTCTGTACAATCTGGGAAGATTAAATTAACAGAAACATTACTTCTGCACGATGTCCTATATGTTCCCACTTTGAGTTGCCATTTAATCTCTGTGTCACAATTGACAAGGGATTCGAACTGTGAGGCACGTTTTGCCAACGATAAGTGTATACTACAGGATCTGTGTTTAAAGACAGAAATTGGTATGGGTGAGCAGGAAGGAGGACTTTATTACTTCAAGGAGCCAGAAAAGAAGATGGTGTGCAGTGCGAAGAAGGAGAGTAAGTTTGATCTTTGGCACAAACGACTTGGACATCCTTCCTCTCATGTTTTGTCTCTTGTTCCTGGAGTTGGAACAAGTAAGAGTAGTCACAGTTGTTGTGACATTTGTTTGCGTGCTAAACAGACTCGTGTGAGTTTTACTATAAGTTTTTATCAATCTGTTGATAAATTTGATATGATACTCTGTGATTTATGGGGACCATATAGGACTCCAAGTTTTGATGGCTCTACAATGTTTTTGACCATTGTGGATGATTTTTCAAGAGGTGTTTGGGTACATTTGCTTGATTCCAAACGTAAGGTTGGCACTGTTTTTAAACAATTCTGTGCTATGGTAGAACGACAATTTGGGAAGAAAATAAAGTGTGTTCGCAGTGATAATGGCACGGAATTTGAATGTCTAAACGAATATTTCCGGGAGCAAGGAATTATTCATGAAACGTCTTGTGTGTCTACTCCACAGGAGAATGGGAGAGTAGAACGCAAGCACCGACACATTTTGAATGTGGGTCGGGCTTTGAGGTTTCAGGCTGGTCTTCCGATTGAGTTCTGGGGAGAGTGTATACAGACCGCCGCACATCTGATCAATCGCACACCTTCATCTTTGCTAGGGGGTCACACCATACGAGAAGATCTATGAAAAGCCACCCTCTTTGGCTCATATTCGTGTTTTTGGATGCAGATGTTATGCTCATAACTTAAAGAGGAATGGAGATAAATTCGCACCAAGAAGAAATCTTGGAATATTTGTTGGATATCCGCAAGGGAAGAAGGGATGGCGTATTTACTACCCAGACACTGGGGAAATTAAGGTGTCCCGGGATGTTGTGTTCTGTGAAGATATTTTCCCTTTCTTGACTCCTACAGGTGCATCTATTGATACAGGAAGTACAAATGAGGTTAGCTCTTATGATGAAGATGAAGAAATGCGGACGGAAGAGCAGATGGACCGTTCCAAGAGGGACGGTGGACCAGAGGAAAGCGGTGGAGCAGACAGGCTACAGACGGTCGACCTGATGGACCGTTCGGATGTCCACGGTCGACCGTCCGAGAGGCAGAATGACGGGTTCCTGAGAGATGACCAAACGGTCAACCTGGTGGACCGTTCTGATATCCACGGTCGACCGTCCGCGAGGCAGAATGACGTTTCTTTGGGAGATGATCAAACGGTCGATCGTGAAGTGGAAGACGGTCGACCGTCTCCGAGGCAGAAGGTTAGCGATCCGGAACATCTTCAGACGGTCGACCCCGTGGACCGTTCCACGGACAGCGGTCGACCGTCCTCTACCCAGCAGGCGGTGGAGAACTTGGGACATGGTCAACGTGAGAAACGTCCAAATGTACGCCTTGCCGATTATGTTACCCATGTAGCTGGTTCACATGTTGGTGAAAAATGCAAATATCCTCTTGCCTCGTATGTCACACACGAGAAGTTCTCTGACAGACACAAGTGTTTTCTCAGCGCACTTGATGCTGGAGTGGAGCCCACAAGTTTCAAGAAGGCATTCCAGGATGAACGATGGAGGAAGGCTATGAGAGAGGAGATTGATGCACTGGAGGCTAATGGGACGTGGTCTCTTGTCTCTCCTCCACGCCATAAAAAGCCCCTTGGTTGTAAATGGGTATATAAGATCAAGCGCAAGTCCAATGGAAGTGTGGAGAGATATAAGGCCAGACTTGTTATACTTGGCAATCATCAGGTTGAAGGACTTGACTGCAAAGAAACATTTGCTCCTGTAGTCAAGTTGACCACTGTGAGAATGCTTTTAGCAATTGCAGCAATTAAGGGGTGGGAATTGCATCAGATGGATGTTCACAATGCATTTCTACACGGAGATCTTCAGGATGAGGTGTATATGAGATTGCCACCTGGTTTCTCGAATTCGTCTAATGTGGTGTGCAAACTCAAGAAATCTCTGTATGGCTTAAAGCAAGCTCCAAGGTGTTGGTTTGCCAAGTTGTCTGGAGCCTTAAAACGCTATGGGTTTGTTCAATCTGTTGCTGATTACTCCTTATTTTCTTTTGTTGGAAAGAAAGGAGTCATACATGTTTTGGTTTGTGTTGACGATTTGATTATTGCTGGAGATAATACAGAGATGGTAAGCAAGTTCAAAGCCTATCTCGGAGATTGTTTTAATATGAAGGACTTGGGAACACTGAAATACTTTCTTGGCATTTAGGTGGCGAGGAGCACGTCTGGGATTTTTCTCTGCCAACGAAAGTATGCCTTAGATATCATCACTGAGGCGGGGTTGTTAGGTGCCAGGCCGTTGGGTGCCCCGATGGAACAAAATCATCACTTGGCTCGTTCCCAAGCCCCGGTCCTTGCAGATCCAGAACCATATTGACAGTTGGTAGGAAGGTTGGTCTATCTCTCCGTTACACGACCATAACTTTCTTACGCCGTCCACACTTTAGCACAGTTTTTGAAGGAACCAAGGGAGGATCAGTGGTCTGCGGCCCTTAGAGTCGTTCGTTATTTGAAAGGATGTCCAGGTCAGGGCATTTTTCTGTCAGCAGAGAGTAGCCTTCAACTCACAGGATGGTGTGATTCGGACTGGGCAGCATGTCCTTTGACGAGGCGGTCATTGACAGGGTGGTTTGTGCAGCTTGGAGACTCGCCTGTCTCATGGAAAACAAAGAAGCAGTCGACGGTGGCTCGCTCGTCTGCTGAAGCAGAGTATAAAGCTTTGGCTGTTCTTACATGTGAGTTGAAGTGGTTGAAGAATGTTTTGCGGTGTTTAGGGGTTGAGCATAAGGACCCCATGACGGTTCGGTGTGACAGCACGACAGCACTTCACATTGCTGCTAATCCGGTTTTCCACGAACGCACGAAGCACATTGAGATAGATTGTCACTTCGTTCGTGATGAGCTCTTGCGAGGAGAGATTCGTACACTTCATGTGCCTACTACGCATCAGCTTGCAGACATTCATACAAAGGCACTCGGAAAGTCACGTTTGGAGTTTCTTCTTCCCAAGTTGGGCATTTCGTTACTACATGCTCCAACTTGAGTGAGGGTGTTAAAGGAAAGAGAATAGTTGGTAGAATATTTGGTAGAATATTTGGAGATATTTGTGTATATATTGTTTTGGTAGTTTTCCTTGTATAGGGATTCTTTCCTTTTCCTTTTCCTTTACTTATTAGGAGTCTCAACTTGTGAGATCATATATATATGTCCTCATTGTAAATTGTAAAGACGAGAGACAAATACAGAGAATTTCCTCCCAAATAATTCTTTCACATTGAGATTTTGAGAATATAATATCATACTCCGTATTCCTTTTGTTTGTGAATTAAAATCTTAATTATTTCTCATGGATTTTGAGAAAAGGTAATTAAAAGCATGGTATACACAGAGATCAGAAATAATATGAATTGCACAATTTATTCCTTAATAGACCCAGTAAATTAAAACTCAATGATGTGGTGGAGCCATGGAAGCTAGAAGGTGAGGGTGTCCAACATAGTGACCCTTATCACATCCTAAATAACTCTATTGTCAAATTGAGTATCTGATCTATTTTTCATATCAGATTAGTCTGGATCATGGACAATGGAAACACACAAATAAATAAAAATTCTTACAATTTTTAAATAGTAAAGTGTGTAATTCATTGAAGGACGGAGGGAGTATTATATCTTTTCTCTAAACTTTTTCTTATTTGACCATCAAAATAATTTTTTACTGTAGTTTATACTATTTCTCACTGGCACATGAATTCTAGCAACAAAATTTCATCGTTTCTTATACAATGCAAAAAAAAAAAATCAAATGAAAAATGTATACCTCATCTGTTTCAATTCGAAAAACAGTTTATCCTTAATTTTTTATCATCTCACGAAATATTTTTACTCACTTAAAATATTTAAAATATCCTCAAAATAAGTTATACCCGCATAAAGGAGAAACAAAGTGTATTAGTACGTGTATATTCACGAGGATTTTAATTTTAAGGTAGGATAGTACTCTTTCGTGAGATGCGTAAAAAATTAGGGTGGTACCTTTTCGAAATAGAAATCATCCTAAATAGATCTAAAATATTTAAAAAAAAAGTACCAAAATAAGATTTCCATGTTTTTATTTTCAAAATAGAACTTCGCACTGCAGTAATGTGGTTGTTATGTGACACTGCTCATGTGCACATTACTATACTTTTTGGTAATGTACATGACTATGTTTGGTAATTTAATGTAAATGCATTTCAAATTTTCAACGCATATTTTGGGAATAAAAACATAGAAGTCCTATTTTGATATATTTTCAATGTTTTACTCCTACTTTAGTGTTTTTCCCTTTTCCGAACATATTACTCCCTCCGTCCTAAAATGATCTTCCCAGTTTAATTTACGAGGTTTGATTGAAATTATTTTCAATTAAATTTATTTGATTATAGGTGTAAAATTAAAAAATGAAAATTATACGGAGTATATTTTAAAACTACATCAAAACTTCTACAAAAAAAGAGTGACATGTTCATATTATTTTATCAAATAACTAACCAAAATTGATAAAGAAAGTGATTGGAAAGATCATTTTAGGACGGAGGAAATACTATATTTTAAAATGGGCATTAATAGGTTTACCCAATTTATGGAAATGAGGAATACAATTTGAAAATCTCTGCGCTCAAAGGTATAGAGTATATCTTTTCTTGATCTCATAAAGATATATTTGAAGTATTTTGACGTGCGTGAGTCAATATGATTTGTAGTATGAATAACCGTTTTGAAAGTCCAAAAATGATTAAAAGCTCAATATACTTTCAATTGACATTATAAATTTTTTATAGAAAAAGGTATAACTTTTTAGACTTTTCAAAAGAAAAAAAGACAAAATAACTTCAAAGATATTGGAGAAATTTTCACTATATATTTTCGGTGGATGGACACATTTTTTAAAAAACATTAAGGACCTGTTTGAGAATAGTGTTAAAGAGTAACATTAACATTTTGAAAAGACTATGTGCGGACAGCGTTTAGCATTAATATTTTTAAAGTAATCTTCATCGTTAAAATTTTATCCAAAATGCTAACGCTAATTTCTAACGTTATTCCCAAAGAGGCTCTAACACTATGTTTGATTTAAGGAATATGAAAGGGGAAAAAAATGAGGTGGAAAACATTTTTTCTTGTTTGGTTAGAGAGGAAAACAAAGAAAAAGTGGAAGGAAAATGAAATGAGAAGGCAAAAATATCTTAAGAGGAGGGAAAAGTAAATTCCTCCCATTTTGGTGAGGAAAATGAGAGAAAATAATTTTTTTTTCTTTCTAAATTCCTTAAACCAATAAATAAAAGACGAAGTTTGAAAGTGAGCATTCTATTTAATACTCCCTCCGTCCCAGAAAACTTTTCTCCTTTCTTTTTTCATCCGTCCCAAAAAACACTTCTCATTTCTATTATAAAATCACTTTTACCCCTTATTTTTTCATACCCTACCCATCACATCATACCTTTTTACTAATAATCTATCCATCAAATCATACTTTTACCCATCACATCAAAGGACATTTTTGGAAATTCAATACCAAAATATACTCCCCTTAAATCCCTCTTCAAAATCAAAACTCCCATGTTTTCCGGGACGGAGGGAGTAGAATTTAGGGTTAGAAAAAAATTACTAGAGAGAGCCATAAATGTTTAGACTGAACCAATCCCAAAGTAAAAGATTGAGTACAATCAGTTAATTAGATCGACTTAAGAGCATGTATATCGAGTATTCTTCTCTTCAACTTTTGATGTTGGATACTTTAACACTATTAGTAGAGTTCTTTAATCTTAATTTTGGTTAATCCATTTTTTACTTCCACGTAATTTCAAAATATATTAGAATGTTATTAGGGCGGTAATTAACTATATTTATATTTTAAAAAGTTAAAAAGGTGTCAACAGATATTACATATTAATATACTCCGTAATTGTTAGTGTTCAGAAAATATATTGCTAGAATTTAAAAAAAAAGAAAAATTATGAGTAGTATATTTCTGTTTTTGAGTAATTGGAATAGATAATACTCCGTACATCTTAAATAATATGCGTGGATTTGAAGTTGAAAAAAGAGGTGATCAAATTAAAAAGTGTGGATTTTGAAGTTGAACAAAAATACCATCCATTTAATATCAACCCAAGCAATTCCTTAGCTTTAATTTGTATATATAAATTAGAAAAAACCCTAAATAAGATTTAAACTTAGAGAAAGGTACCAAAATAGGACTTTCATATTTTTTTTCCAAAATATATAACTTTACACTGTACATGTGCATATTACAATATTTTTTTTGGCAATGTACATGATCATGTTTGGTAGTGTAATGCATTTTAAGTCCTATTTCGAGAATAAAAATATGGAAGTCCTATTATGGTATATTTTCAATGTTGTAGTCTTAGGTCTTTCTCCTAGCCTATATTTACTCCCTCCAACCCACAAAATTTTTCTTCTTTCTTTTTTCACTCGTCCCAAAAAAATCTTTCTCATTTCTATTAAAAAGTGACTTTTATCTCTGCTAATTCATAACATATCTTTCACATCATACTTTTATCCATCACATCTAAGGGCATTTTTGGAAAGTGAATATCAAAATACACTTCTCGTAAATACTTTAAAAGTCAAAAACAGAAAACTTTTCAGGGAGGGAGGAAGTATATAAATAAGGCTTTGATCACTCTTCATATTCTTCACACACATCCATCATTTGCAAAAGACAAATACCCCAAATGGCTATTCCCAAGTCTCCTCCCATATTCTCCATCTTCATACTCCTCGCATTCTCCCTTTCCGGCATCCAAACGAGTCAAGCGATCCGCGTGCTCCAACAACTCCCCGACGTCCCCCCGATACTCTCCGCCGTTCTTCCCGCCCTTCCGACATCTCCGACCATATCGGGAGAAACTCTGACGACCCCGCTTCTTCCGCTGCCGCCGCCGCTGCCGGACGCCGCCACTTTGTTCGGAGATCCGCTGCTTCCGCCGCCGGCCTCGTCGCTGAACTTGCCTTTCGTTCAACCTTCTACTAATGCTCTCCCTTCACTCCCAACAACATTTCCTACCCTTTTACCACCTCCAATGAACTAATAAACTAATTGATTAATTAAACTTCTCTTGATGAGTTTGTTTGATTAATTCGGCATCTAGCAATAAATTAATAATATTTTCTCTGTCGCTCAAAATCTCTCCACTCTCAATTTTCTTCCGTTTAAAAAACACTTCTATTAATTTTATGTACTTTTGTTACGTTTGGAGTCGTTAAATGTTGTGGTACTACCAATAATATGTGTGGTTCGTTCTATATATGTTACGTTCTAGATGAAACTATGTTGTACTAATGAGTACTATCCTTTTGTTTTGTTTGAAATAAATGTTTCATTTGTTAAGTTTTACGGATCGGAGTACTACCCATCCCTCCCTTTCATTTTTTTTTATCCATT